CCTGCGCCGGGCCAACCCGTCGCTGTTCCCCAGCCTGCAGGCCCGGGGCATCCGCCGTGTGCAGATCCTGAGCCTCCGCCGCAGCCTCAGCTACGTGATCCAGGGCATGGCCAACATCGAAAGCCTCAACCTCAGCGGCTGCTACAACCTCACCGACAACGGACTGGGCCACGCATTTGTGCAGGAAATCGGCTCCTTGCGCGCCCTCAACCTGAGCCTCTGCAAGCAGATCACTGACAGCAGTCTGGGCCGAATAGCCCAGTACCTCAAGGGCCTGGAGGTGCTGGAGCTGGGGGGTTGCAGCAATATTACCAACACCGGCCTTCTGCTCATCGCCTGGGGTCTGCAGCGCCTCAAGAGCCTTAATCTCCGCAGCTGCCGCCACCTCTCGGACGTGGGCATCGGGCACCTGGCCGGCATGACGCGCAGCGCGGCGGAGGGTTGCCTGGGCCTGGAGCAGCTCACGCTGCAGGACTGCCAGAAGCTCACGGATCTTTCTCTAAAGCACATCTCCCGAGGGCTGACAGGCCTGAGGCTCCTCAACCTCAGCTTCTGTGGGGGCATCTCAGACGCAGGCCTTCTGCACCTGTCGCACATGGGCAGCCTACGCAGCCTTAACCTGCGCTCCTGCGACAATATCAGTGACACAGGCATCATGCATCTAGCCATGGGCAGCCTGCGCCTCTCGGGGTTAGATGTGTCCTTCTGTGACAAAGTGGGGGACCAGAGTCTGGCCTACATAGCCCAGGGGCTGGACGGCCTCAAGTCCCTCTCCCTTTGCTCCTGCCACATCAGTGATGATGGCATCAACCGCATGGTGCGGCAGATGCACGGGCTGCGCACGCTCAACATTGGACAGTGTGTGCGCATCACGGACAAGGGCCTGGAGCTGATTGCTGAGCACCTGAGCCAGCTCACTGGCATAGACCTGTACGGCTGTACCCGGATCACCAAGCGCGGCCTGGAGCGCATCACGCAGCTGCCCTGCCTCAAGGTACTCAACCTGGGACTCTGGCAAATGACGGACAGTGAGAAGGTCAGGTGAGGGCGGCAGCACCAGCTCCCCTTGTCCTGCCCTGTACACCCTCCCTTCACCACCACCGGCCCCCACACACCCACTCGCATATTTAGACGTAGTTCATGGCGATGGCTGAGATAGGGCAGCGACTTGAAGCCCAAGCTCATTTCTCCTCCTCCGACGCCCCTCCCTGCTACCAGCCCCTTTCCATTGCCTTCGGGGTTCCTCTTCTACCACTGCCCTATTTTCCTCTCTTTTTCCCTGCGGATGGAGAAATGGATTCTGCTACTCACTCACCTACTTCTCTCTGCAGGGGATGGAGGACTGTTTTCAGCTACTGTATCCCCACTGCTTGGCATTTGTAAATGGGGTGGGGGTGGGGAGTGACTAGTCCTCTCCACCCCGAGGAATTGAGGAAAATGTCTGCCTTCACTTAAGCTTTCATTTGAATACTGTGATCTGGTTTTTATTTTGAAATGTATAAAAAGCAAACCCAACTACAACGGCCTTTCACCCTTCTTCCACTTTGTAACTAATCCCAGTCTCTTCTCATCACTTCTCCTTTTACAGTACTCGGCTATTAACACTCATTTTATTTTTATCTGCTTTCCTTATTTTAGTTTTTTGAAGAAATTGGAAATCATGGTCTTTTTTTTCTGCTGAATATATTCTATATATTATATATATATAAATTATATATATATTATATATATATATATGTCTGGCTACCTCGTTTTAGTTTACTTTTTTCTCTGAAGCCCTGGAATTCTACAAGAGAGATATTTTGAGACTGAAACATTTTTGTGCCTAGACTGGAAAGATGCCCATTGGGTTTGTACATCTTTTTGTTTTGGCTTCTTCCCAACCTCCATCCACCCAGTGTGTCCTACTTCTACATTCTGGCTATAATTTTCTTTTTCTCCTTGTCCATTGGGATTTGAGGACCCAACTGTGTTCTTAAATCTTGACTTAATTTATAGCACAAATGTGTGGGAGAAATGAGAGTTGAACTGCTTTTTTGTTTGTCTGAGATGCAGATTGTGTCTTGAAAATGATTATTATATATGCAAATTATGCCCTACCCTCACCCTCTTCCAAGTTTCTCCACAAAAAGGTCACACAGTGAGGCTTCCTGTTGGAAGTACAGAGCAGAGTTGGCCTACAGAGACCCTGGGGCCCCCGGCAATGTGAAGGGGAGGAGACTGAAATTCATGTCTTATCTGCGTTCTGTTAATAAAATGGGAGTTTGTGGGTTTTAAAAAGATCCGTTTCTAAATGGAGGAATAGATGACTTTATTTTGGTGGGGGTTGGGACTTGTGGCTTTAAAAAAAATCGCTTTTGAGTAGGATGTATATTTTTGTTGGATTTTGTTTGTTTGTTTATTTTTTTAGAATCCTCCACAGCAACATGCAAGAACATGGAGTTAAAGAAACCCAGAGACCTTTATCAATTAATTGTACTGTTTGTGAATTTGTATAAATAATAACAAAGATCCTCTTAAAACGTTTATATTCTTACATTAAAAGGTTAAACTGATATTTATATAATAAAGAGGAAATATGAAGTATGTTTTTGAAAAAAAAAGCACAAAAAAAAAACTTGTATCTGTGAATTATTTTTAAGGCATTGTGTGTTTGGGTACATGCCAAAGTAGGAGGTGCTCTTTGTACACTAAGATAGAAGGAAATAAGGTATAGATTTGGTGCATCCTATGTGAGTGAGCAAGCTCATGGTTAAAAATTTATTCTGTGTAATGTTTACTAATGACACCCAAATAATGTTCCATTTCTAGAAATGTGATAGAGTGGAGAATTCTATAGTTTTTGGTTTTAAACTGTCAACATGGAAATTTAAAGAAACTGAACAAAATGAAACTTTAAAAAAATTCAGACTTGTAAAAGTCACAGTTTCCTCAAATGACCAGTTTTTCTTTGAGTGGAAATTAGATCTAGGGGTAATACTGAAAAAATGGGTCATGAGATATGGGGGTGGCCAAGAAGAAAGAAGGGTGTCTACTCTTAGAGCGGCTGTGGGGAGGATGTGAAGGGTGGAGGGAGCTGAAGCCATTGTTCAGAAAAGTTAAAAGAGCGCTGCTGTCCTTGCCTGCTCCTCGCTCAGTCATGCATACTGAATCTCCCAGAGGGAGTGAGGGTCCCGGTGGAAAGGAGGAGGGCAGTTCTACCCCTCTTTTTAACATTCCCCTCCAGGCCTGGCTGCATTGAAGCACTTTCCTGGGGGCTGGGGAGGTTGGCCAGGAGTTCTTGTACATTTGCATTTTAAGCACTTCCAACACGGAGGCTGGCCACTCGAGCCACTCAGTTGAGGGTTCTTAGACTGAATTCATGCAGATAAATGAATACCAACAATTCTAGCAAAGAGTTCCCTTTGGTAGACAATAACCAAATAATCTGACACCCAGTGATTGAGCTGTGGAAACTGGTGAGTATAAATGCTCTTAGTTGTGGAGTAATTCATATTCCTGGTTTCACATAGGTTTGTCTAAGTTGTTTTCTGAGATTACTTTTTTCCTTTTTTTAAACACCAAAAAAGCACTGATCCCAGTGAGAGCTGATAAGAACAGTATCAAACTTTCCTGGATCAGCATCTCTTTCCAGGAAGAGGGCTAGAACCCAGGTTTCTCTTGGGTTAAGATTGTTTTGTAAAATTTCCAAGCTTTAAGACTTGAACATATCACAAAAGCTGCATTGTTCCTTTTTGGAGAGCCATCACAATTGGGTCTAATTGAGCCTGACACTAGATCCATCTTCCTTTTCTATGGGGAAGGTGTGGATCTTTTTCTTTCCACTTAGGTTACAGTGCTTATTGCCCAAAGGCCGGGTGGGTATGTGTGAACCCCAGTAAGAACCAGGGACTTTGAATTAGGGCCAGCTTTTTAAATTTAGCATTTGACACAATTCCTGAAGGTTACACAAGCCATAGGTTCCTAGCCTATTTTTCTTCCAAGAGACTGCATGGCTGTACAGATTCATTCAGTCAATAAAAATTTGAGCACCTCCTAAGTCTGCCTCTATTCACATTCTTCATTTTAACATGCAAGTAATCCTACCACCACCTGAAACATTTTCTGTTTTGATTTTTTTGTTAAAAGTTATATATAACCTGGACTTAAGGTTGATAAATTAATGTTGAAAGTTAAGATCATGGGTATCATGTCCTTATCCTGAACTAGGCATACTTAATGTATCTGGACCTTCTCAGGAAAAGATTAATAAACCATTTACTGTCAGCAGTGAATGTTAATTGCTTATCTCTCAACCTTTTTGGATGGAAAGAAATTATGTGTTGAGAACCTATGTGGGCAAAATTCTTTTTCTTTTTTTAAAAAATTATTTTGGCACTGGGGACTGAACTCAGGACACTTTATCACCAAGTACATCCCAACCGCCCCCCTCCCTTTTTGAGACAGAGCCTTGTTTAGTTGCGGAGGCTGGCCTAGAACTTGCAATCCTGCCTCAGCCTCCCAAGTCACTGGGATTACAAGTGTGTGCCAGGATGCCCAGCGATACTTGTAAATTTTAATCCTCAAAGCACCCTTCTAAAATAGGTCTCCCTGTTTTCCAGATAAGGGATAATACCTGCCTTGTGCTATTCAACCAGAAAGTGAGGGATTCCACAGGTCTACTTCTAAAGGTCATCTCTCTTCTGCTCTGAAAAGGTTCAGTTACTGATCAGATGTTGATTTCCAGTGAGGTAACCCCTGAGAAGGTAGGGGGAACTGGGTAAACACAGCATGAACAAGCTTATGCCACAGGTACTACTTCAAAGGGTCAGGGTAAATGTGGCGTGTATGAGGGCTTAATCCCCATCACACCTATAGGACAGAGATGCATTTAGGAACACCAAAGGATGTGAATTGCTATACATAGTGGTATGAAAGTTAAAAGGCATTTCCATTAAATTTTTAGGTAGTAAAACATGATTCAGGTATTTGCTGAAACTTAAGAACTGGAAAAAACATGTAAACTTAATGTGAACCTTATCGTTTAGCAGTAATAAACTTCAATAGGAACTGGATAGTAGTCAAGAAAAGGCTTCATGAATTTTCTAATTCTCACTGGGACAGACAACTTTGCAGCCCTCAAAGGGCCATAATGGACCTCTAGCTAAGAATGCTGGGTGTTGCTGCATAATTCTCCCAGCCAGGGACACTTTCCTGCTGAATTCCTTAGTCCTAACTGGCAGGGGAGGAGGGGGAAGCCCATTTGATTTATTCTACATTTGGCAAAAGGGTGCTTGCCTAACTTACATTTATTGAAATTCAAAGCCAGTATCAGGACATCCTTAAATGGTGGAAGAAAACTGATCATTTCTTTTCATGGTTCAAATTAATAATAAAGATCTGCAAAAGCAAATGTTCCTTTTATTGGAGTCTCTCTTTAAAGGTAAGAACTTAAAAAAGGACATACAGGATGTGGACTGAAGTATGGCCTGTCCCCCCAGACTGGTGCTTTCCTGAGTGGTTACTGCTTACATGCTGGCCTTGGCAGATAAGTTAAACCTTTCAGTTTTCTACTTAAAGAGAATTTGAACTTAGGTTTTCAAAGGGGAAAGGGGTTGTGGCCCCAGGGGACCACTGTGTTTCCAAAGAGTAAGATCCTCTTGATTAAAAGATCAGATTTGTAAAACAAAACCTAGACCTCATGCAGCTTCTGACAACTATCTCTTCCCAGTCCTATGAAAAGGGAAGCCCCTGGCCTCTGATCTTTGCTCTGTTCTGCTGGGGAAAGGGAGGGACTGGAGTAAGTCATCTACTGGTCCCTTCTCTCTGTTCTCTTTCTCTTTCCTGCACCAAACATCACCCCTTTTAAAAGTTAATTCTATCCCTTTAGTAGAGGGCAAGACCTAAATTTTGTGCCATTATGAACCCCTGAGGAGCCAGAGGGGTGAGGCTTTTTGATGAAATAATGTGAATCATGAGGAAAACATAGGATTAGAAATTAGAAAACTGCATTTAAACCTAAGCTAATGCTTGGACCATATAGTTACCTCATTTTTGTCAATGCTCTTATTGCAACATTAAGTAGCAAATTAAATGTTTTAAAAAGCAAATGTGGTAAAGTAGATGAAACATTGGTATTGAGAACAGTATCAACTATTCATGATTCATAACTGATCAAAGGTATCTATGTGCACAACTTGGTGGAGAGCAATTGTTTTCAGTTCTTAGATAAAATGGTGTTTCTAGACAATTAGTAAATATTTTTAAATGTCCACTGATGATCAGTGTTAGTCTTTTCCTCTCTTCCAGGGATTGCTCTGAATTGCCTTTACCAACGCAGAATGCTTGGTACTATGCAAAGCCAAGTCTTCCAGTTGAGGCACAAGATAAAGTGAGCTTCCCATCTTAACTGCAGCAGCCCTGGAGCAGGATGTGTTCAACCCCCTTCCCCAGTAAAGTGACAGAGGTGTGTATCCTCTGCTGTTTGTTAGCCTACAAAAGGGTTCTTATTTTCCTAAAAAGGACTTAAGTTTTTATTAACTCATTACTCTTCTATTTTAATTGTTTAAGGGTCAAATGCTACATGTCCTTATAAAAAACTGTGGTAGAGAGTGGCTCAGTGGTAGAGCATTTTCCTAGCATGCCCCAGGGCCTGGGTTTGATCCCCAGCATTGCAAAAACAAACAAGGATTCTTATATTTGTTATAGTGGAAATAATAGTCTCAGTTACAAAGAAGGGAACTGGGTAAAACAAAACCAAGATGTCATGCAGCTTCTGACAACTGTCTCTTCCCAGTCCTGTGAAAAGGGAAAGAAACCAGCAGCAGGAAAGAAACCCAGGTGAGACAGTGTTAGGAAGGTGAATATGATCTACTGGAGGAATTTAGTTGTAACAGCATGTTCAAATTTTTTTTGAACATGTGAAAATTTTTTTGTCTCAGATCTGGCAGATATGGTACATTTAACTTTACAAGTGGGGAAAGAAGCTTGACACAGTCAAAAAGATTTTGCATAGATGACACAAGGATTTAGTCTTGAAGCCAAGGCTGCTCCAGACTTTACTGAGCATCAGAAGGCAGTTGACTTGCAGGTAGCTCTTTGGAAAACACCACCCTCTGTTCAGAAACATCCAGCACTAGAAGCAGGAGTAGAAAAACAAAAATACCCCCAAATGCCAAAAGTCATTGCTGTTTAATATGCATTACAGTATGTAAACTTAGATGTGTTCTGCAAGCATTATTATACATGGGGTTACTCAGGAAGCGGAGAAAACAGGACAGGTTGGCAAATACTCTACTTACAGACCCTTAGGTCTAAAGTGATTGGTCGTGTCAAATGTGTTGTTTGCAAAGGATTTGAGCCAGTTTCCAAAACACTGAATTGTCTTAAATGGTAATGTGCAGTACAAATCCTGGAAGTCTATGCTTGTGATAGCCTCAAAGCCAAGAATTTACATGTATTTAATACACTACAAATATCTATCACATTCTCTTATAAAGTAGAATTGAATTGCAGGAACCCTAGCTTTTTTCTCTTCATTCAAGGATAAAAAAGGCTTGACCTCGTAATGTTTTATTACAAATCCCCCTTGTCCAGAAAGAGTAAAAGGGTCTAATTTGATAGTAGGGGGTATCTTCTCACATTTATTAGTCCTTCATTTACACTCTAGTAGGACCAAGCCTACCACACAGCTGCCTTTCAATAATTACTACTCATCACCGATCCAGGATTCTGGAATTAGATTATGGGAAAATAGTTCTTTAAGACCAGATTTTTTTTTTCATAAATAGTGTGGAGTTAATCAGTATTGGTTTGGGAAGCATTGTAGTTTTCATTTAAAAAGGATATGAAAGGGTTAGTTAGGGTTGTGGCTCAGTGGTAGAGCTGCTTGCCTATCGCGTGGGGCACTGGGTTTGATCCCCAGCAACATATAAAAAAACTAAATGCATAAAATAAAGGTATTATGTCCATCTACAACTAAAAATGTTTTTAAGAAATGATATGAGAAAAATATTTACCACAAACATCTTGAATAATATTTCTCCTCGGGAAATCTTAACCCCAAACTGGCATTGTTTATATATGAACCCGCTTTCATCTTCTAGCCCAGGGCAAAGTTCTTTGAGAACTGGTCTCTAAATAGGGAGGAACCACAAAAATTAGTCCTGATCATCTTTAGACTGTTAGAAAAATCACTGAGGCTAAACTTTGACAAATAGTTAAAATAAGGGAGAAACCATGAGTTTAAGCCACTCAAATAAATCAATTCTTATGTTCTTAGATGCAGGACAATCTATTTAGTGCCTTCCTTTTCTACTTTCAATATTTTAAATCTTCACTGCTCAAAAACCTGCTGCTATTAACTATCAGAAAAAAAAAAAACTGGATGGATGGATGGACAGTGGGTGTGTCTTAAGCAAACAAGATGAAAGTGACAATTTCTAGCTCTTCTAGTTCATTTCAAATGCACACAATTCAGCCAGTCAGGAATCTGTGAAACCACTGGGCCAAGTTCTGCGGCCTCCTGAACTTTGTTGGGCTCACAGCTAGCTGGTACAGGGAGCAGAGAGGGTGGTCAAGTTTCCAGTCTGGAGTAGACAGGTGAGGACTCTCCCAGCCCTCCCTGACATTGCATACACTTGAGACAGATGCCCAGCCATTGTACTCAGAGTCAAATCATGGCAATCAGAACCATGTGACCCACAGAAAGGCAGCTGGTCTCTTATTGTCCCCCATAGAGAAGGGTCTAATTTTCAATGGAATCACAAGAGGAACTGCAGAAATTCACTACTGTAAGTATGACACAGGATTTACCAATCAAAGAAAGGTTTCATTACTGCTTGTTGTAGAAACAAAAATGTGTTTATGTGGGTTAGGAGGCAGAAGTCAAGCACTACATGCTATTGAAAGGTAAGGGTGGAAAACTGTCTTTT